CCGCTACGCTACGCTACGCTTTTGGCCCAAAAAGCGTAGCGTAGCGGCGCTTTTTTTGCCCCAAATTTTTGTAGTGTTAGCGCTTTTGTAGCGCAGCGTAGTGGGCCCTTTTTTGTGGCCCACACGCGTAGCGTTAGCAGTGTCGTGGCGGAATTCCGCTACGCTACGCTTAACGCTAACGGGAATTCCGCTGTGTTACGCTGCACTAACCGCTACGGTTAGTGTAGCGGCCCACTGTTGTTGTAGGTCCTTGGAATCCCAACAGAGTAAAAACCACAGTTGCGTATGATTTCGTCCACTAACTGTTCCTCCTGTTCAAAAGCAATCTCGGGTGAGAAGTCTCCTATAGAGATGGTCGCGGATAATCCGCTGCGGATATCCACTATCCGCTGGCGGATACCCGCCAGTGCCAGCGGGTGCGGATGCACCCTTCCCCCTGAAATACTGGCGGGTATCTGGGTATCCCAAGGGATACCCAGTGCCAAGAGGCCACACCTCCAGGAGGAATCCCTCCCGGCGAGCTGGTCTGTGCACCAGCTTGTTGGGAGAGGTTCCTCCCAGCGAGCTGGATTGTGTACCAGCTCGTTGGAAGGAATCCCTTCCGACAAGCTGGTACACAGACCAACTGTTGGGAGGAACCCCTCACGGCAAGCGTCTACAGGCCAGCTCGCTGGGAGAGGTTCCTCCCGGCGAGCTGGTTTTTAAACCAGCTCGTAGGGTGGGTTCCTCCCGACAAGCTAGTCGGGAGCGGTTCCTCCCGGCAAGCTGGATTGTGTACCAGCTCGTCAGAAGGAGGTCCTTCCGACAAGCTGGGTTAAAACCAGCTCGCCAGGAGGGGGTCCTTCCAACAAGCTGGTTTAAAAACCAGCTTAGGGAGTGATTCCTCCTGAAGAGGTGGGATAAACACCCTCTCGTCGGGAGGGGTTCCTCCCTACGAGCTGGTACACAATCCAGCTCACCGGGAGGAACCGCTCCCAGCAAGCTGCCCTGTAGATTAAAGATGACGATCAGTACCCGGGTACCTCTAGCGGTACCCTGGTACCACCTTTGATTTTCTCAGAAATGGACACCAGGTACCTCACCTGGCACCCCCTGGAGGGTACCAGCGGTACTTTGGGCGGGTACCAGCGGTACCTGTGGCCGCGGTGCAAATGGCACTCTTGTTGAGCTAATCTTATAATACTATCACCTTTCTTTTACCTTTCTCATCTGATTTACCCTTCTTAGCAGGCTGAATACCATCTTTCCACTTGGCCAACACCCCTTCCTTGATCATCCCATTTTTTGAGTAGAAGGCAGCAGCCATCCCCCTCATTAGTGACTGCGCAGTAAGTGTTGAGGTGTCTGATAGTCTGCTACCATGATGTATCACTACATGTCGAACCATGAGGAGTACCACCCAACAACCCTGGCAGTCACAAGCGTCTGTAGCCTAGTTGGTAAAGGCAGCACTCTAGTATGTGTCTCAGCTCAGCTGAGGTCGTGAGTTCGACTCTCACCAGACACATCTTCATTTTGTCTGTCTCTACAGTAAGGAGGGTACCTCTAGCGGTACCCTGGTACCGCCTTTGTTTTTGCTCAGAAATGGACACCAGGTACCTCACCTGGCACCCCCTGGCAGGTGCCAGGCGGGTCCGGGCGGTACCAGGCAAACAGGTGCCGGGTACCTCCAAACGGGTACCAATTGTCATCTTTACTGTAGATGCTCACCGCGAGGGGTTCCTCCAGATAGTGTGGCCTCTGACCCTTTAGGCCAAGGGGGCCTGGTTTTGTTTTTCTTTTTTTTTTAAAAAAAAAAAACACTCTCCTGGAAGATCTGGCTGCCTTGCTGCCAATTCAGAGGGCGGGTATCCGCGGGGATACCCGCCGGCAGATGCGGATGTGTTTCCGCTGAAATTGTGAGCGGATATCCGGATTCAATGCGACCATCTCTAGTCCCCTAGAGAAACCAAATTGCTGGAAGGGTCAGTTGTCAGTAGTCTTTTAGGTTTATCATTCAGATGTTTCATTTTAATCATTGGGGCCCCTGGCATGTCCTCAAAATTGGCCCACACCAAGCAAACAAGACTGTCAGTTGAGGATACCCAAAACATCCACCCTTTACTCTCCTCCAAGTGTGACACCATGTGGGATGGAAAAGCTCTATCTGCCAGTTTGTTCTGTTTTTCTGGTGGTTGCAAGATGTAAGCAATACTTCCAAAGATCCTAGCTTTATCCACTTGTGGCTTCCGTCCAAATAATGCCTCTTATGGTGTTACATCACCGCTTGACTTGTTTGGGAGCCTATTGATTGTCCAAGATGCCCATTCAAAAGCAAATCCCCAGAACCGTTGTGGTAGTTTGCTATTGCCTAACACCGTCCTTCCCATTTTGGAGACAGTCCTGTTGAAACATTCCACTGCTCCGTTCTGGTAATGATGGTACGGCAGACTCCTCTCTGCCCTGATCCCTTTTGAAGTTAGAAAATTAGCCAAGACTTTGTTTGCAAATTCACCGCCATTGTCACTACGCAGAACCTAAATGCCTAAACCTGTCTGTTTTTCTAATCTGTTGATGGTGTCTATAATGTGTTTGTTAGCATCTGATTTCACGGGCATGATCTTTACTTCATTATATCCTGATCCCAGGTCTTTAATTGTTAGAACGTATTTACCTTTGTGGTAAGTTTCTATTGTAAAAGGACCCATAAGATCAAAATTGAGTACCTCTAAAGGCTCTACTGACCAGTTGGATTGGCCAAGTGAAGATGTTCGACTGCCTTTGTGAATAGCACAAAACGGGCAGTGCAGTTGGCCGGGAGGCATCTTTTCCGGCAATCCAAACGCCGCCTTCTGGTTTACCAATTTCCGGATTACTCTCAAACTTGCATGCCCAAAAGTCCGGTGCCAAAGGAGAAGAGTTGCTTCATCCTTGGTTAGATCTTCAGGTTGCCATGTGAAACTCAGTGACTCTTCCAGTGGTGATTCAAAAAGCTCCACAGGATTAGGTTGAGCACTTAGTACACTGTTTCTGCTTTTTGATTGGTGACATTCAGCATTAGTAGTTTCATTGCTTATATCATGATTCTCAGAAGACAAAGGCATAGAGGAAACAGAGCGATTGATTGAGAGTGAACGTGGAGTTGAGATTTTAGCAGTATGTGTTGGGGACAAAGAAAAAGATAGTGAGGTTGAAGAGGAACATCCTGATGAGGTAGGAGGTATTGGACGGGGAAAACACCATTTGTTGGTTTCACAACAAAACGGACAGGGAAAATAGCAAATCCCAAGTTGGTGTAAATATATCAAAAGAATCAGCTACATGGTTGTAGAAAAACTTTGAATCAGCTTTCCGTAGAGCTGCCAGCGATATAAGTGTTGATGAAGCTAGCTCACAGAAAAGTACTCCTTTAAGAGTTGTGATTTGACCATTCTGGGTCAGAAAAAAGAGGTCCCCAGCCCCTGTGATAAAGGAGCCACCACCTTTAGTGGCTACACGGTGTGGTGTTCTAAACGGTACAGGCCCCCTCAAGGTCAAATTTCAAATTTCAAATTTCAACTTATCAATATCCTCAAGCCTCAAGATTTCAACAATATCACCTCAAATCCCCTCTCAGTCCAACAGTTTCCTTCATTATAGTATTTTACTATGTTTTTATTTCATTTTATTATTTTACTTCCTCTGATTATTTTATCTTCATATTATTTTTCATTCATCTTGATTTTTATTTTTAATTTATCATTTTATCATTCTTTATTATATTTTTCAAATCACCTACTTGTTGTGTTGTGTTGTGTTGTGTAGTGTGGTCTTGTTTTTGTTTTCTGGTTGAGTTGTGTTGCAGTCAGGGATGTGATGACATGTCTGTGACACGTCACTCCCCAGAGTCAAATTTCAGTTAGAACTGAGATGATGGGGAAGCATGGCACTCTGATCTGATCCAAGATAGACCCATCAAATATTATTGATCTTTTTATCATCGATTCATCTGATCCTCATACTCACCTTCACAGATCCTCAACCTCAACAACCACCACAGAAATTGAATTCTGTTGTCTCCTCTCAGAAAACCAACCAACCTCAACACGTTTTGTTCAGATCACAGCTCAATCATCCAGACCCCACTTGAAGGCAGCCCTCAAAGCACCATCCCTTCAACCAACTGCCTACCGCCTGGCACGATAGGAGTTCCACAACAGAGAGGGATAGGATTTGAGAAAGGACAAAAGTTACTTAGTGCGTACCTGTTGCCTGTCAAGTGGTGTGTTGCACCAGTGTCAACCACCAGATCATCCCCTTCGCCAACTGTCAGTTGACTGAAACCGGGAACCAGGCCATGTTCTAAGTTTTTGTTGTACATGCCTATTTCGATCATCTGAGTGGTGGGTTCCTGAACGGACTGGTGTGGTTGATTGGCGTAGTCTGTTGGCTGCCGTGGGTTGTCAGAATGATCCTGCTCCTTTGTTACCTCCGTTGCGTTGGCTGTGGAGGGAGCAGGCGGGTGTTGGCTAGCAGGGAGAGAGGGATGTTGGTGGTTGTCGGGTTGATACAAGTCAGGCTGTCTGTGTTGTTGTAGGCCAGCAGGGTTTCCCGTTGGTGGCGCATACTGTGATCCTTGTGGCAACGGTGGGCCAGCTACGCTAACCGTAGCGTTAGCGTAGCGTAGTGTAGCAAAAAACCGCTACAATTTAGCGTAGCGTTAGCGCTTTTCTCATTTTCTGCGCTAACGCTACGCGAATGGGGAAAAAACTTGCGCTAGCGTTTAGCGTAGCGTTAGCGCGATTCCCCCATCTGCGCTAACGCTACGCACACAGGGTGCAAAAAACCGCCCGCTACGCTGCGCTACAGCAGTTTTTAGGCATTTTTTGCCGCTAAAAACGCTGTAGCGTAGCGGCGCCAGAGGTGCGCTAACACTACACCAAAAATTGGTGAGTGTTAGCGCCGCTATGAATTAGCGTAGCGCAGCGGCCTTAGCGGCGCGCTAACACTATGCAAAAAAAAATGGTGCCGCTACGCTAACGCTACATGGGCCCGTAGCGTAGTGTAGCGTAGCGGCCCACCGCTGCTTGTGGTTGGTACCCCCGGTTGGTGTACCCTGGCGGAGTCATGATTGGATACCACGCCTGGAAGTTGCCAGACGCGATAACAGGCTGATTGTTTGCGCGGACCAGTGGGCTTGCTTGCCATTGGCGACAAGGTTGTCCGGTCGGGGGCGGAGGCCAATCAAAGTCTCGATGGAGAGGAAGCTTGCATTTGCTTAGCAGGTGGTCTGTAGAGCGGCAGTTCCAGCACTGCAAGCCGTAGGTATCTAAGCCTTGTACCTGATTAGGCTTGGTCCAGGATGATGGATCATAGTATTCTTTTGCAAGATCTGATTGATCCATTGTTGATGCCTGATGAGCCTGAGGTACCATTGCCAAGAAGGAAGACTTTGAAGAACCAAGGTTGATTTGACGTTTGACAATGTCTGTGTGCTTCAAGATCTGATTGGGTGTTACGGCCTTCTTCAAAAGCGTCTGGCTTGATCAACCTAATTCCTGTTCAACACGTCAATCAACCTCTTGACGCCATTCCAATCCCGCCTCCAAAAAGCTTTGAAGAGCCATCCCGCCAACCGTTTTGTGGTTGAGTTCAATCCAAAAGCTACTAGAGTTGTCCAGTATCTCAAAGAGCTTGGACACCGCCTTGGCACTGTTCGAGTAGTTGCTCATCTTGAAATTGATCAATCGGTCCCAACACGTCATTTGCTCTGCCCGGGTGACTGTGAAAAACCAAGAGTTGAGGTACTGGAACATTTGATGACAGTTTGACTGGCGTAGTATGCTTTGATGCATATTGCTGTCAACAGTTGCCAGGAGAAGAGATCAGCTGATTTGTTCTTGAATCGGATTGGTGCAGGGTTTTGTGTACCACATTGGTACACCAAAAATCTCCAGAGCCCTTCTGCGCCTCATCAATTCCCAGTTGGCAAAGTTGGAACCGCTTGGTTGCAGTTTGTCCAAGCTTGTCATCCTGGAAGCAACATTCGATACAATTTGCCCGGGAGTCTTGCCCTGGTATAACGACGGAACCGACACCTCTGCTAGAAAACGATTCACTTCATTGGCTGTGTACATGGGTACATTAATGCTGTTGTCGTTGTCTGCTGGTCGCCTGTCATCCTCCTGACGTGGTGTATTACGGCCTCGACTCCTCGACCCATGCTGCCTGGAGTGGGGCCTGGTGTTGGCGTTGGTCGAGAAGGCATCTGGACAATTTGTGATGCAGGCTTCATTTTGCCAGGGGTTCTTGTGTTGGGGTGGTGATTGAGTGTTGCGGACTGGAGACAACATGATAGCACAGGTGAGGGAAGACTGGATGAGTTTGAGAAAAACTGGAAGGTGGGGCGTCGGAGAAGAAATGGAAAAGGGAAAAATAGACGGAAAAAGGAAAAAAAAATTGGAAGAAGGGAGGGATCGGGAAACAGAGAGAAAGAAAATTGGGGGGAGGTGGTTGAATGAGATGGAAGAAGAAAGAGGTTGAGAGGTCAATAAGGGAAAAGAAGAATTGAATTGATGAAGTGTCGTAGCTTTCAAGCAGAGAAGAAGACAAAACCTTGGCGCTTTTGTTATAGCCTCGCTTGTATGAGCGTTGTGGTGTGCTGTGCCTGTTCCAATGCCAAAAGCATACAGAATAGGTGATAGTTAAACACACTTATCATTCATTACAAGAGGAGGAACATTCATTACATAGGACATACAACAACAGGATAAGGTATACATATGTAGACGTGGTGCGTGCGTGGGTAGGTTATGTAATATGGGTTTATTTATTGTGTAATTAGTGGAAAAGAACATAAAACAGTTGATGAGGAGGGGAGAAGGAAGGTAGGCGGAGAGGCTTTGACCCTGAAGAATGAACAAGGAAGGAAGTAAGCAAGTGTTTCATCTGATGTTCCATCTGTTGCTTCATCTGTTCAGATGAAACACAGAACATTTGGAATGTGGATTTGGTTTCCAAGTCACAGATCTCATAAGACTGTATACTGTACTGGATCACTGCTTTGGAAGGTTTCAGCACATGCTACATGGCTTGGTTTCATAGCAACCAATGACATCATGCTGTGCTAGTGAGTGTTACCTGCAGCAAAAATGTCTCACAAGGAGTCCCCTGCAGCAGAAATCCCTCACTCTTCAATATAAAAGGAGGGCCTCTCTCCACCAGGATTTCCTTTTGCCCCATTGGCCCACAGGAGTAAGTTGGTCACAACTAGTTAGTAGTGTGATTGTCAGAGAATTAGTTAAGTAAAGTCAGAGATTTATAAGTAGTAGAATCAGAACCATTGAACCATAACAAAGTGAACTTAAGTAGTATTATTAACAAATAACAAGTAGTAGTAGTAGTAACACCGGAGCTCTAGTTGTGATTAAAGTGCCTTAGCAAGAAATTGTTCGAGGAAGAGATCATTAACAAACTCTAAATAACAAATTAAACTGTCTTGCGCTCAACCATAAGCGCCACAGTTTCCATTATTAACCTGAAGTTGTAACAGATTCATTAGTAGATTGATAGGGGATCTAGTTCTGATAGAGATTACTTTACAAAAGTAAGATCATCTTGGAATCAGCCGCATATTCTTAAATATTGATTACAAGACTCTTAGTTATTTGTTTAGTACAAGTAGAGGGGCAGGTCTTTCAAACCACCCGTAAGTTGTAATAGCCTTTCAACCTATTTGCAATTTATTTCCCCCTCAAGGGATCTTTTGATATACATATACTTTACCGTGTCTATCCGTCCCAGGAGTCATACAGCGTCAGCCCCCTAGGTACCAAAGTATTGGAACAAGGTAGCTAGTCTCTGGCTTCCGAACATACTTGCTACTTTCAAACTAGGCAATTCAGTCAAATCGAAAACTCCACCCTACGCTGGGTGTAACGCTTGTCATTGATTTTGATGTTGGAAGTTGATTCGATGAGTGTTTTATTTGGTGATTTCTTGAGAGTCATTTTTGAAAGAAGAATGTGATCTACCCTACGCTGGGTAATTTGACGAAGCTGATTTGCCCTACGCTGGGCAATGAGGAAAAAAAAATCGAAAAATTTATTTGAGACAAGGGCTCATGACCTGTTGTGTTGTGAGAATGAATAGGATTGATAATTCCAACAAAACACACACTCAGCAGTTCTAGGCCGGTGTCTGGTGAGTCTGAGGGTAACCCAGTTACTGGGTTACAACAAAGACGCGAGGTGCTGCGAATTCTTTGATCGTGTCGGAAGGTTGAGCTGACGAAGAGTGAGTTGAAGCCCCTGGGCCCTGGGGCCTGGACAGGGCTCTCCTCGGTCGGCTTGACCCTTCTTTTGCCAACTTTGAGTCCTTGCGCAGGTTCAAGCCTGTGCTATAGGGGGCTCCGACCCCGCGCGCTGTGAGCGACTTTGGATATTCAATTTGCAATTTTGACGAAAGTGTTGACAATTTTTTAAATTCTCCCACTTACATAAAAGACCCAAGCAGACAGCGCAACGGGAACCAACAAGATATCCAAGACATACAGCACACGAATAAGCAATACCAGGAACGCCGCATATAGAGACGAGAGATTCGAAAAAACTAGACACGAAGCATGCCTCGCGAGTTTCGTAAACGAGGCCGTGGCGGAAACAAGCAAAAAGACGGGGAAGACTGCGATGGAAATCAAGTAGCCAAGCAGCCCAAACGGCCCAAAGTGACGACCCAAGATGTGATGGAAATAGCCCAAGGATCAGAGGAGGATGATACGCAAAACCAAGGAAGATTCAATGCGGATATTAAGGACCCAGATGTGGCCGATTTTCCACAGCTGACACCTGATTTGAGAGCCTATTGGAAAGAAATCGACGAGAAACTGCAAGAGTTCGAACGGCTAGGTCTAGGCGCTTATCACTCCCACTCGAACAAAGCCAATCAAAATGATGAAGCGGAAGATGACGACGAGGACGAGAGACAGCTGCTCTTGAGGTCGGCACTTACCGAGCTGGGAGGCCATGAGCTGGCCCTGGCTAGCGACCCAGAAACAAGCATCATCCTCGAGCGGGTGATCTATAGTATGGACGGCTTCGCTAAGAGAGTCTTGGCCGATCGATTCATCGCCAGCTTCGTCGACCTCTGCAACCACCGACATGGCTCCCATGTACTCCAGACCCTATTATCTTCATCTGCCGATCTCTTGGACGAAGAAGCCCCACTCAATCAGTCCAACTCGAAGAAGAAAGCACAGGATGATTCGGAACAAGACGAGAATCTACCCCTGATGAGTGACTTGCTCTCTCAGGCCTGCGATGTATGTAATTTGCGCGCTTTCTTCGCTATTCTCTGACTCCAACCTGTGAGTCTCACAGCCCATCTTCTAACAACCCATTTCTCAAAACACGCAAAGGACATTTTGCCACATCTAGATAGTATAGTTTCCTCGCCATCGGGAAGTCACGTATTACTGGTGATCCTTCGCCTATGTTTTGGAAAACCGATAGGAGAGGAGAATGTACGGTCGAAGAAGTCGACCCAATGGCGCTCCAAGCAAGGCTCTCTTCGCTCCGTCTTCCACGCCAAGCCATCCTCCTCATCCGAGCCCTCCTCAACTCCTCAACCCGCCCCTTCTACCCCCGCCGATCCTCCTCGACGGGTCCCCAAAAAGCTGCGCCAAAAGGGCCAGTTAGTCTATGCTCAGATGAGGCGGAATTGGAGCGACAAAAATCGGCTAGGCGGCGTGCGCAGCATCGCTAGTAACCCTTCGATCGTCGTTCTACTCCAGCTTATCATAGAACTCGAGTTCGATAGGGGAGAAGCCGAAGTTCCGGACTCGCTAACCGATATCATCCTTGATGGGCTCTTACAAACCTCCTGTAAGTAGTATACCTGTGTCATTCTCGTTTTTCAAGCGCTTACTAACTACCGTATTTTCTAGTCAGTTCAGAGCGCTCAGAGTTTGTTGAAGTGAGTTTAAGAGATGTGACTGCATCAAGGGTCATCGAGGGAATCTTGAGTCGATTATCACCGGCCTTGTTTAGCCGGTTTCATTCGGTCTATCTGGTGGGTCGGATGGGCCATTTATGCAACCATCCGGTCGCCAATTTCGTGATCAGTAGGGCTGTCTCTCGGTTGGATCTTGAAAACATCCGGCCAGCGATTGAGGAATTCAGGCCGAAATTGGTCGACTGTATCGACAACTATCGGATTGGATTCTTCAAAGCGCTTGTCGAAAGATCGGCCACCTTCGAGGACACCGTCCACAAGGAAGTGATCGAGATGATCTTGAAGGCCTTTGGGATAGATGGGGAATCAGACTATCGATGGATCTTTCCTTGCTTGATCTCTCTGATGAGGATGGACTACTTTCGGAAGACAAAGATGTTTAATCTGCTGGATTCGGCTGCCGAAGTCACCCTAGAGCAGGTCAAACTACCGGAAAGTAATGTCCAAGGATCGGTGCTCTTGCAATCCATTCTCCAAACCCTACCTCGCTCCCTGGACGCGATAATCACCAAAGGGCTAGCGCAGCTGCCCATTGAAGTGATCATTGGAATCTCGCGGGATCCGATTGGTTCGAGAGCATTAGATGCGCTCTTGAAGTCACCATCGATCACACCTTCCATTCGTCGCCACTTCACGCTGCGTTTCCTCGGGAATTTCCACCGCTTGGCAGACGATCGGATCGGCTCACATGTCGCAGAAACTTTCTGGACGATCTCGGACGTCTATCTCAAGGAGAAAATCGCGGCCAGTCTCGTCAATCAGCAGATCTTCTTGCAGAAATCTTCCTTCGGTCATTTCTTCCTCAAGAAACTCGAGCTGCCTCTCTTCGAACGTCAGCGTGAGGCTTGGAAATCTAAAATGCTCCTCAAGTTCCCTAGGCTTATTCCTCCCTCTTCTGCTGTCAAGTCTTGATTGTGCTTTTTATTATCCTCCTTTCGATCAGACCTTTTTGACGACATCAAGTATAATATCAAAAGTTTGTTCTTGTCTCCGTACAAAGCTTAAGTTGACATGATGACGATGCTTGGGAAAAACAAAAGGAAAAAAAGTTGTATAATTTTGGGTTTCCTTTTTTTTCAACTAGTATTCTCAATTTCAATGATTGCTTGAATTTTTTTTTACTTGCTTGGTTGGAAAATACAAACGGTCATCGATCCAAATAATTAATTCACTTTTTTTTCATTTGAAAGACTACATGAGTGACGCATCGGGATAAGAGAAACTACACAACGATCAAGAAACCCCCAAACGGATCAGCCATTCATTTTTTTTTGTTTCTGACTGATTACAAACAACATAGATACAAGGAGAACTGTCAAGGCCAGATACAAAGTTGGATGGATTAGATACAGGAAACTGAGTTGGGGAGATGGGAAGAGATTTTGGGCGTGGATCATGAGCTTTGTCGACTTTGTTTTTTTTTTTTTTTTGGTTGGGTCGTGAAGAAGCAGGGGACAGATTAACATGAGCATTTTTAACGGAGACGAGCAGGAGGTCTAGGAAGGGATAAGGTTGAAGAGGGGTGTTGATAGTAGAGGAATAGAGGAGTCCAGTTGGCGCGCCTCGAGAGGGCACAAGCCTGTTTGTGAAGGGTAAGAGAAGGATTCGGCGACAGTGAGGGCCTCAGGTTACAGAGCTCGACTGTAGGAGACAGGCAAGTGCTGCCTCACTCTTCCTGGAAGTATGCTGGCGGAAGAGAACAAGAAAGCTGTGAGTGCTTGGCGCCGGCCCATTCTCTCAGTGTAAGAGGCTAGAGCAGTATGTGATATTATATGGGAAACTTACCGGCACAGGCATGAGAGTGGGCGGAACAGTATCAGTGCCATCCGAAGCCGAGAGCTTTGTTGCGGCTGACATCTACGGCTTCGTTGGAGCTCGTTTGATGAGATTCGGCGTGGCGCTTGCGTTGAGGGTTCTGGTCGGGAGGAGGGGCGACCATGAATTGCTTGGGATCCTCCGATACCGAGTCGTCCTGGAACCGTCGTGGTTGGAACGAATTCTTGGGGCTGTTGGAGCTGAGGTCTACGGCTTCGTATGAGCTCGTTTGACGAGATTCGGTGTGGCGCTTGCGTTGGGGGTTCTGGTCGGGAGGAGGGGCGACCATGAATTGCTTGGCATCCTCCGATACCGAGTCATCCTGGAACCGTCGTGGTTGGAAAGAGTTCTTGGGGCTGTTGGGTCTGATGTCTCCGGCTTCGTAGGAGGTAGATTGATGGGATTGGGTGTGGCGCTTGCGTTGAGAGTTCTGGTCGGGAGGAGGGGCGACCGTGAATTGCTTGGGATCCTCGGATACGGAGTCATCCTGGAACCGTCTCGGCTGGAACGAATTCTTTGGGCTGGGCTGGTGGAGTAGTAGTTTGATGGCCCCTCCGCCGGCCGATCCGACTGAAGGCGCGGTGATGCTCAGGTTCGGCGATGAGGGTGCATTCGCCGACTGGGCCACGGGCGGTGGACTTCCATCGTCATTGCTCAAGAGGTCCGAGTCCAGTGATCTATGGCGCACAAGGCTCGATCCCTTCCTTGCTTGCTCGGCCTCTTCGTCGGCGTCTCCATTCATCCGTGGGACCGCTAAGTTGGTAGGATCGCTTGAGGAGAGCTTCTTGAACGCATCAGCAGGCGAGGAAGGCGGAGCTGAAGCCGAATGCCCCACCAGAACCGAGAGCACGACTGTAAGGATCAATGCCGAGAGCGCTTTGCTTGCGTTGTACATCTTGTTTCGTTGTCGTTGTCGCGAGCGGGTTTTTCTTTGTTCTTTTTGCTGCTGAGGAAAGCGTGTCTCCTGGTTCAGAAAGCGTCGGAAGCTCAGATCTACTACAACGCCAATCTGTGGACTGTGGGTTTGTATTTATGTTGGACTGGTGGATTGCAGGTTGTGAGATGGGCGGCGAAGGGGTGGGACTCGGCAAGCTTATATATCCTCCTCCGGACTCCGAGCTGAGTGGATCCCTCTCAACTCAGCGCTCGCCGACATGTATCCCGATTCCATGATCTCTTCCCAATCTACAGCTTTGTATGCAGCAGTTCTCCCGGTTGGCAGCTTGTCGAGGATGATCCTGATCGGATGGACTCTGCTTGCCATTGGTGATCTGCTTGTCATCATGTGCTCTTTGTTTGAGCAAGGCAACCATCTCAACGCCGCCCCGGTCGTCCTGGGTGGTGCTCATCAAAACATTGATCTATCTATGTGCCGGGATCGGTGGACATCATTCAACTATCCTCATCCACCCTCCTCACGGATCTCTGCTCCATCCTTCACCATGCAATCCATTCGAAACAAGATCCAGCCGGAGTTAATGACATCATGACAATCGAGCAGGCGCGCAAATTCTTCGGAGCACGACACATACACTTGAGCAATACTGATCACCATGCTCTTGTCTGTTTATTGTTGGAACACACTGTGATCAAGGCTTCAACTCTTGCCCGCCTTGGAGCCTCGATGTGTTGTCCCGAAGGCCGAAGCAGGCGGAATATGAGCCAAACCGGCCTGTCGAAATGTAGGTTATTGTAACTTTGTCGGAGGCTATGGCCCGAACAACATCGAGAGATACAAAGGTGGATCCAAGTCAAGTCTGGCGGTCGCTCTTTCACGAACTTCATAATTTTTATTTTCAAAGGGGGACACCGGCTTGCCGAAAGGTCAGGCAAGCCTCTAATTTACAACATGGTGACATAATGTGCAGTCCAAGTTGCATTTGACTAGGGTGGAGGTTCTCGGAAGGCCATCCTTTACAATCAAACTGGCACGGCTTTGTGCCAGCAGTAACAATGGGGATATGGGTGTTGTTATCTCTGGATGAAACCGAACCATCACATCAACCCTCCCAATCCTATTATCACCCCGAGCTACTTGGCTCCACAACCATGTCTTGTTGTGTCGCCTAATCAAGCTATTGCAGTCCTCGATATGCTAACTCGCGGCTGCTCTGATGGGCAGGGAATTGGGAGCAAAGATTTCATCATTGCGGAGGTCTCTCCCGAAGACATCATCCCTCAATCTTTCGCATCACATGTGGTGTATAAAACTGTATTCAACCCATGAAAAAAAAGTGGATTCGACATCTCGAGGTCCCTTGCTACAAGACATGAAACATTGTTTCGTGTTTGAGACCTCCGGATTAACGTGTAGTAGATAATGTAAAGATGGATAATGGGGCTATCTATCGAAATACATTGGTATACTTATCTTTCCCAGTCCCAATCGCCATTACAGCAGAGAAACCGTCTTGCTCACTCAACCAACGATTGTTATCGGAGCAACAGCAGTCTATACAGACCATCAAAACCCCCGTCCCTCGTTTTACGCTCACATTCATTCGAAAAAAGCTCTCATAACTGTCACCACAACACCACTGTACCCATAACCAAGCACACTCCACAACAAGAAGCGACCGTGCAGAGGGCCATATTCGGCTCAAGGGGTAGCATCGAAAAGTTCCTAATCCCATCGTCCATTTCCTCGACCCAAAGGACATCTCCGACATGATTCTCAATCTCAGCACTTCTCGACTACTTTTGGTAACTGCCATTCTTTATCGTAGAGTGCAAGCAAACTGTGCAGGGGTTCTGACAGTTAGCGCTGTTGCGCCCGAGATTCCAGACATGAGGTGAGCTGTTTATAACGTTCAGCATTGATGACTGATTCGATCCAGGAAAAAAAGAGCGGATGGCTTAAGTGATTTGCGTTTTTACCGTGTATGCTCGTCCATCCATAGTCAGCAACAGAAACCATACCATTCCGAAGTAGGAAAGATTTCTTACTCGTTGGATTCGGCTGGCAACTTGGACCTGACTTCTACCACGTGAGTATTCTCTTGACATCCGCAGGCTTTTGGCTCCAATGAATCTCTCTTTTTAGCTGACTTTCCTCCACAAATTCCTCCCGAATGTTGGCTTGAAATCCTTAGGCCTGGCTTCACCTGTGGTCCTATCACAAACTTCGTCAGCTCGAACGCCACCTCCAAGACTGCCGTCAAAGACCCAAGTGCACATAAATCTAGTGGAGATGCCCCAGCGAACCAGGACCCGGTCCAAAGTGTTGGAGCACAACTGTAAGACCATTGTTCTATACGAACTGGCCTTTTCGCTCGAGGCCGCTGTTGTGCATGAATGACTGGATTCTAGACTGATTGGTCAAATACAACTTCTTTCAGACATTGCTCACACGAACCGGAAACTGCCGGGGTGGACTTGATGACGCCATGGCAAACGCTCACATTCTACGGCTCGTTGTTTTTCCAGTAAGTCCTACGAGCCGCAAATCTACTCCACCATCTCCCCAGGGAGGAGAGGATCTATCAGGGGTTGCTTACCCATAAATGCACGATTCTCATAAACCACATAGGATCGAAATGAAGGACGACAAATGCGCGAAGCCTGCCGAACTTGTCCTGGACTATAGCCGATGCAGCTATAACGCAACGACTAACACTGGTCGACAGGGTTCTGCCATTCCTTGCAGGTGGAGTGTCCCTTCTTAGAGACTCGCTTTCTTCCGTCACACCGGTTGTCCTGATCTTTCTCGTTTTTGAAATTATCTATTCTGTAGTTGGACTGCTTCATAGTAAGCCATATCTCGTGGAACGATGCGGATGGTTGCACAGTCCATCGATACTTCATTTCTCTTCGAAGATAGAAACCGTCAGAATGTGTGAAACTCTTCCATGGCAGAAGTTTCGCCTAAATGACACTCTTGTTACACACGCATTTTGTTTTGGGTCGGCAACAATTTCATTGAACCAAAACTGAATTTAGCACGCAGAAAAAAAAAAAAAAAAACTTGCTTGATGGAGATGGTATCAATGTAGCCGTTTCACATGGTCCTTCAAACACTCTTTCCATGATGTGAATTATCTGCAATCTCTAAAATTTGTTATATTTTGTAAGCTAGGATCAGTCATTTACATTTTGAGGAAATCAAAAAATTGCATTGCATTTATATATCAATGTATTGGTAACATGTGTCAAGTAGATTGTGTTCCTGTAGATGCAGAGTAGATCTCTTCCAATGAGCTTAAGAGAAAAAAATACATCAAATTGATTTCAGAAAACTGCAGACTTGTGTTCTCACACAGTCAGGAGCTAGCTCACATTCCCTGTGCATTTTCCACCGGGACATGTAAAGATGTCATTATCTTCAGAATCACATTGTGAAACAACATACTAATTCAATATAGTAGGTGATGGTATTATCTAAACATAGAGGGTACATTCAATGTGACATTATAACTCCAAAATATCTGAACTTTTCTGACAAATCAGCAAGTATTTATAGAGGGTGCACCCACTAAGATGGATAATATCCTGTCTGAGTTGAACCAAAAATGTCACCTAAACATGTATACTATGAGGGTCAAAACATCACTAGATATTTTAAATGGGAACATGAAATGCCCTAATGAGCCTGGCTCCAAATTGAAGATGGTAGAGCAATGAAGCAAGGCTGAAATTGGAATTCCCCAGCTCCCAAGGGAATCAAATGTAGCTTGAAACATGCCAATATTGCTATAAACTCAATTCAAAACCAGGGGCAATTGATTTCAGCTATAGAGATGGCCTAGAGATGGTCGCGGATAATCCGCTGCGGATATCTGCTATCCGCTGGTGGATACCCGCCAGTGCCAGCGGGTGAGGATGTCCTTTTCCCCCCAAAATCCTGGCGGATACCCGGGTATCCCAAGGGATACCCGGTGCCAAGAGAGTGAAGAGGACTGCCCCCCCCCTCAGCCTAGAGAGGCCATGCCTCCGGGAGGAATCCCTCCCGGTGAGCTGGTATGTACACCAGCTTGTTGGGAGGAATCCCTCCCCGGCGAGCTGGTACACAGACCAGCTTGTCGGGAGGGGTTCCTCCCGGTGAGGTGGTACACAGACCAGCTTGTCAGAAGGGATTCCTTCCAACAAGCTGGTGCTCTCGTCGGGAGGTGTTCCTCCCGGAGAGCCGGATTTTAAACGAGCTTGTCAGGAGGAGTCCCTCCCGGCGAGCTGGTACAAAGACCAGCTCTTCGGAAGGGATTCCTTCCAACGAGCTGGTGCTCTCGTCAGGAGGAATCCCTCCCGACGAGCTGGTGTACATACCAGCTCGCCGGGAGGGACTCCTCCTGACAAGCTGGTTTGAAATCCAGCTCGCCGGCAGGAACCCCTCCCGACAAGCTGGTATGCACACACTACACCAGCTTGCTGGGAGGGATTCCTCCCGGCAGTGTGGCCTCTCCTTCCTAGGCCAAGGGGGGCCAGTTATATTTCTTTTCTTGTTTTTTGTAAAAAAAAACCCCTTGCCGGCGTCAACCAGTAAGAGGGCGGGTATCCGCGGATACCCGCCAACGCCAGCGGATACCCGCAAGCGGATGCGGATGCCTGATTCCGCTGAAATTGTCAGCAGATATCCGGATCCAACGCAACCATCTCTAAGATGGCCACATGGATCTGGGTACCCATCACAGGTGTGAGCACCTGCTGTGATTCTAGGCTATATCTGATACCTAGACTCAAACCTGGAACCTGTGGCATGGGTATCAGAAGTACCTTTGGAGGTTATGGCGGGTACCAAATTTTGGTATTGACACCATTGGGTTGTGTCACAGAACTATCTGCTTTCACCGGCAGGTCCAACAAGTCCTCAAGCCAGCCTGTCCAATCAGTCTCCAAGCAGTCCACAGACAACTGGCCATCTCTATTCAGCTAATTTGATGCCAACTTGACCTGCATAAAATTTTAAACTTACCGGAATAAATGTACTGGAAATCCAAAATGAATTCCAAGGGGGTTCTTATTGTGGAATATTTCATAAAATCAAGGTCTTGAGCCTTTTATTTTGAATCTCAAGTAAACTGCTTTCAATAGAAATTAGAAAGATAAAGATTCAATTAAGTTTAATTTTCTTGATGTGAGAAAGATAAATTTATATAAGCTAACAATAAGAATCTGGGGAATATGGTTTTGGTTCAACTGTTTAACAAATGAGGTAGAAAGAAACTAAAGTAAAAAAAGCCGGTGCTTCAATTTGTATAATGTAATTGCCAATTTATCAATCTGATTTTATCGTTAATAGTTCTGTAGTTTGAATAAACAATTATCTTGTTCACTAGCTCAGAGAGGTTGTTAGGGCTCTTTGGGAAAAAAATGCCTTTTTGGTTTGCCCAGTATTGAAGAACGTCCCAGGCTATCCCCATGGCATTTGTTGAACTCTTTGTAGGTCCCCAGTATTTTCCAAAGTTGAGCATATCATGCAACTTCCAAGCAAAAGTGGTTTCGCGAAATAGTTGATCCTCTTCACCCCTTTCGATATTATGCCAGAGAGTCCTGAGGAAACTCAAGAAGTCGTCAACGTAACCTCTTGTCAATTGTCCATTTTGATGTTCATTCAGTAGAGAGAGATAAATTATGTTGAAGAAGGTGATGCATTTGGTGAGTTTTTCCACAATGCCAACCCTGGCCGTGATTTGCTTTTTTCGCTTTGTCACTTTTCCAGGGATATTAGCTAATTTTCGTGTAAGTTTGAGGTTAATCCAGGCTACAATTCCTTCGGAGAAGACAGGGTAGTCTTCAAGTCGAAGTTTTTCGTCTGCAAGCATTAAGATCATATTATAGGTTTGTAAACATCTCTCAGGAGATGTGAAGGTTAAGGGATAGGGCATCATGTCTCTTCTGCCTCTGTACGTTTTAAGAAAATCTGTTGCATGTTCTTTTGAAATCCACAAGTGTTTGTCGGGGTTGCCAGGAGGATTCGCAGGCCGTTTCCCTCCCTTTTTTACGATGATTTCGGTTTTTAGTTCATTCAAAAATTCAAAAAGGCTCTCAGGGACAAATTGCTCGGAGGTGTTCTGTTGATCCTTAGCAATTTCCGTGTTGGACTTATGTATGAGAAAACTCCAGTATTTGACATTGAAAAGTACAATTTTTCTTTCACTTTCTTCAAGCTGGAGGCCTTTTTCATATTGATCAGTTGGTGCGTTTTTGAAGCTTTCAATCGGTTGTTTTTCTAATTGTCTCAATCGGATGGCATCGGCGGTATCACCTGACGATGCACTTTCATTCTCGGCTGGCCAGGTTTGTTGGTATCTTAAAAGAGACTTTTTCCTTTTCTGCTCAGAATCAATTAGGTTCGACTTTGGCTGTTCGACGTTGGTATCAAGACTCTTGCGCTTGTAGGGACCAGTTGGACGGTGATTTGTTAGAAAGGACTTCGGTGCCGAGCTTGCCGAGTGTAGTCCCAGGTAACGCTGTATCAGAGCATCTTCGACGGAAGCATCCAAGGGCGGAGTCGGTGGTAAGGAACGGAGTTGAAACGACAACGGATGTTCATCCGGTGTTAAGGAGCAGAAGGGCGAGGTTGGTGGTTCATCTGGTGGTAACTGGTTCAAATCAACCGTTTTAAAATTCGTCTCCTCTCCGTGAGTCGAGATTAGCATTGTAAGTATAAACGCTTGCCCGGTTAAGAGGAATATCAAGTACAGACGTTGGATATAAAATTCCATATTTTTGAGTTTTTGCCAACAAAACGGAAAGGCAAGCTAAGAATGGCAGAAATGAGGTGTGTGATTGCGAGTGATGTGCCTCAGTTGAAGGCTCACTGTCGGCCGGAGAATCTGCTCTACACACACAGTCCATGAGAGCCTCATCACAAAAACGGTGGCCCCAAGATGTTCGAAACGAACTTGACACTGAAAGCATGAAACACTTGCAAGAGATGGGTTTTCAGGGGTTTACTCAGGTGACGGAGGAGGAACTTGTTGAAAACTCGAGATCAAATTATGTACCTATGTAAACACAAGAGGATTCCTGGTTTCTAGCAAGTGGGAAAGCAAGATTCTGCGCGGTAGGTCGGGAGGGCGCGCAAGGACACCAATGCTGAGGAATTCGTTCTCACAAACGACAGATTCCCACTCTCTGATCTTGACAATTGCCAAGTATGATAGATGACATGGCTCTCAATGAGGAAGAAAAGTACCGTTACCATTTGCCGTGGTATGTATTGATTAATTATCCGTTCTGAAACAGTACTCGCTATGTGTAAATTCCTACACACAAAGGACAATAAACTCTTTGAATTCTGTATTTGTTGTGAGACTTGGCGGATGAAGTCTGATCAAAAGGTGGAAGAAGTGGGTCTTGATTTGTGAAATCTGCAAGAAGTTCTGTGTAGTTCCAAACAAAATTAAGGCGCCGGAAAGACTCAGGAGTAACAGAGGGGGAAGCTGATGACAGAAGCGCGAAAAGAGCGAGAAAAAGAGGGAGGGAGACACTAAACGAGAGACTTGACTGGTTGTGAAGAATGAAGAAGCCCGGATGGGTCAAATAATTGCAGGTCACGCCAGGTCTTTCTCTTGTGGAGAATGACTTTCACAAGTTGAGAGCGGCTGAGCACTTTGATCTAAGGTTGGATCATATGGAGGACGGTTTGGCTGACGTTGAGCTGGAGTGGGATGGTCAGATTCTGTAGCTCGGCCCTAGTGGCGGACCCTCTGTGCGACACTGACAGCACTCATGGGCTGGAAGTTCGGATCGCTAGGTCGCCGACTGGCGATGACGGAGGATTGCGGTTGCTCGTTACAAAACGGCCGCGATGGGAGAGGCCTGACCGGCGTTGTTCTCCATACGGTGTATGGGCTGCGTCGGCCGGTGGCTGCTGCTCATGGATCAAGACATCCGATCAGTTTTGCCTTCCCCGAGGTTCCTTGGGCTTGCAACCGGGCAACGCATCCGAAGGATGGAGGCACATTGCAGTGCTTGGTCAGTTGGATCTATTGTGCCACTTCTTTGATGCGACCAACAGACGTAGAAGGACTGAGAGCGTCGGTGAAAGATTTCGGCCGTCAAAAACCATGGAGAACAGGAAGGAGGTTAGCTTCCCTAGGTCTTGACACACCTCCGATCGGTTAAGCTAGAAGGACATTGCCGGTTAAGCCTGTATGTACCATTGCGGTCGCTTATAAACCTCGTTCCGATCCGGGCCTCCAGCTCCAGGTATGGCCTTGCCGACATCCAAACCCGACATATCCGACTCCGGGGCCAGGTAGCGTACCAGTCCCAAGCAAAAACGCCCAAAACTGCCTGGGAGAAGCCAATACTTTCTTTCTCTTGAAAGATCCAAATTGTGAGAATGAGTGAAAAATCTCCCAAGGAAGCGGCTCGGGGAAAATGACATTCAACCAAAACTGAATTTAGCAGTCGAGAAAGAAAACCATTACATAGACCATCTCCACCCCAGGAGGTAAACTGCGCGGGTAAACCAAATTTACCAGGACCCTGGAAACCCCCGAACTATGTGGGTGACCAAAATGTATGAGTTTTTTAGAAAAAAATGAAAATCATACGCACAAAAGTGGTATGAATGAGTTTGGTTGCCTTAAAGGTTACCCACCAAACAGCCTTTAAATGTATGAATATCCGCCAACTTGGCCGAAAACCTCCCAAAAATGGCCCGGTCCCCGGCTATTCGGGGGGATTTACTCACTTTCCGGGGGATTTTGGCCCAAGCATACGCACAAAATGTGAATGAATGGGCCCAAATGTGCCATTCCCCGGTGCCCCCCGATGTATGAATTTAGTGAAAATTCCGGGATTTTTGTCACCCACATTTATAGGGGGTTTCCAGGGTCCTAATTTACCTCCCCAAGCCCAAAATTCCCCTACCACCGGGGGGTGCTAAAGGGGAGGTGTATATAGACTTCCCCCCCTTGGGTTGTATAGCATTGCCAGATGTGCAATCACTATACCAACCCATGTACCTCCCCAACCCAACGGTTTCACAGGGTCATCCTGGTGAAATCCGGACTCCCCCCCCTCTGTGGGAGGGCCTTTCACAAACCAGGTGTGTGGATAGCACCCTGCGGTGGAAAATAATTTTTCTAAGGGTTGCTATCCGTCTGCTGCAGTCCCAAATTTACCAACTTAGATGACTCTGCGCGGTGGAGATGGTGTTACTTATGGTATCAATGAAAATGTTTCAAATGCTCTTCCAAGTGCTCATTCCTGCTATGAATTATTTACACTCTCTAAAATCTCACTTATTTTGAAAGCTAGGATCAGTTACAGCCAAACTGAGAAAGCTTGCGGTCTTGGTTGGCAGAAGATTTTTTTTTAAAAAAAACTACCCACTGCATTCGGAATCTTTGGAAGATTACACACCCTGTATGCCTATTCAAATACAGCGGTTACCTGAGTGTCAAGTCCCTATCTTTTTTCTACCTCATTTCCAGGTCATGAGAGTAAGACCATTGGAATCCTGAGGGGAAGTTTGGTCTTACCAGCTTATGACCTGGGTGTCACCCATGCCCCTCCTGCCCGTTGAGCTGGCTGGTTGGTCCCTGTTGGTGCTACAAGCATGTATTTATAACCTGTTCACTTTCTGTATTCTTCCAAAGAGTTCCGACTGCAGTTGGGATTTTTTTTTTTGAATTTTCTGCCAACCAAGACCGCAAGCTTTCTGGGTTTGGCTGTATTTCACAAAAAAAGGAATAAAAAACATTGAAATTTACGCCAGGTCTAAATGTACGGGGAATGTGGGTGACAGAAATTAGACAGGAGATATCTTTCAATCAGCTTGAAAGAAGTTTTTATTAAATTAATGCTAGATTATTGCAGGCTTGTGTTCTCACCCTGTGTGCCTTGAGCTCATGTTTCCTGTGTCTTTTCCACAACAATAAGTCAAGATGTCATTGTAGGACTTGCCCTTGTGATTTAGAGTGCTTTTTAGACCTCTCTCAGTCTTAAATTAAAAACACAATTAAGATTCCAACCAGCTCACATGAGACCTATTGCCAGAACGCTTCAGAAAAAAGATTTTTTTGATAAAAAATTTAGATCTTATAAGGGGTGTAAGTCAAATTCTGGAAGGGTCATAGATTGAAACAGGAAGTCATTCATTATCTGAGGTACATATTGTATTGTAAATCAAAAACAAAATACCTCAAAATACCAAGTGATGGATTTAACAGTTTTTAACTCAGAATTTACATCAGACGTGACATTTTGAGAATTGAGGTCTGCTGATTTGTGAAACAAGAAGGTAGCCTTGGTAGTACAAAACATTCACATCAGCATATGTAAGGCCTGAAACATCATGATTGAAAACAGGCTTCAAGGACAAGTGAAGAAGAGGACCAGAAAAAACAAAGCCAGGAGAGAAAGCTCAAGGCTGAACAAACAGAGGCTAGCGTGTGAGGTGGAAAAAGTGCACTCACTACAATCAGCAAAACCTTTAGCTGTAATCAGCAAATCATTGATCATAAAAACACATCCATTTTTGAACGTTTAGTCCAGAGTCCCCCAGATCATTCCAGATCAATCCAAAAAAAAATGCTATCAGCAACTTTTAACAAGGTGCAGCCATTGGAACTGGCTATTGTGAGCCGGGCTAATAAAGGAAATTTTGAAAAGAAAATGATTCAATACATAAACATCACACTTAGAGAAACAGATAATAATTCCAGTGTAAATCCTTTCAGCAATGTTGGGCCAGTTACACTAACTGTAGTGTTACTGTCAGTGTAGCCTAACACAACAGAATCTCACTAAAATTTATCAATTCTGCCGCATCCACACTAACACTATGCATGCAGGCCCCCAATAAGTACCCGCTATGCTTCACTAACACACCGATTAGCAGCATTTTGGCCCTGGAGCAGCCGCTAGCGGTCAATCACGCAGTGTAGCATAGCAAAAAACCACCAACTTTTTGCTGACACTCCACAATTTCCATGTGCAAGAAAAAAATGCTACACTAACACGTTTTGGGCAAAAAGCATAGCAATTGCTTTCAGGTAACCAATTCAGTAAAACAAACCAAGGCACTGTGAATGGAAAATCTTAAGGCAAACAACAAGTACATGATGAAGAAGAAAGCAAAGAAGACAGTGCAAGATAAAAGAGCAGATGATGTTATTGACCTGATGTTCTCAGATGAGTTTGGCAAGTTGTCAAAGAGGAAGGGAAGTACAGGTCAGAGATTGTCAAAGAGTCAATATGGAAGGGAGTGTACTAAGCAAAGTCAAAGAATTAAAGGGAATGTTTGGAGAAAAATTTATGTCAGATGGAGGAACAAAGATGATAGTATTTATAAGGTTGTAAGTAACAACCAAGAAAGTTCCCCAGCTGAAGGAAAGAAGATTAAGAGAGACACACAGTTTATATGCTTGAGGATTGAAGTGAGAGTGAGAATTTATTCATGGGTGTTTTGACGGGGTTCAAGCCAGGTGACATCGTGTGATGATGTCATACAGTCAAGCGTGTTGTCAAAGGGTTATGAGGTTAGAGGGGTTGTGAATTGAGTGTGATAGCATCAAAGGTGGGCCAGCTACGCTAACCGTAGCAAAAAACCGCTACAATTTAGTGTAGCGTTAGTGCTTTTCTCATTTTCTGCGCTAACGCTACACGCATGGGGAAAAAAACTTGCGCTAGCGTTTAGCGTAGCGTTAGCGCAATTCCCCCCATCTGCGCTAACGCTATGCGCGCAGGGCGCAAAATACCGCCTGCTACGCTGCGCTACAGCAGTTTCTAGCGGTTTTTAGGCGTTTTTTTGCCGCTAAAAACGCTGTAGCGTAGCGTAACTCAGCGTAGCGGCGCCAGAGGCGCGTTAACACTACACCAAAAATTGGCAAGTGTTAGCGTAGCGGCGCGCTAACACTACATGAAAAAAAAGGTGCCGCTACGCTAACGCTACATGGGCCCGTAGCGGCCCACCGCTGATAGCATTCAGACTTCAACAGGCACAGTTCTCCTTAGATTCTGGATTTGAATAAGATAACACACCTGTTTTAAACCACAATAGATGATCTGTTTTAACAGTTTGAGTGTGGAATTGTCGGTGTCCAGTGGAATATCCAATTGATTAGGTAATCAGATTCTCAAAGCAGATGAAATATCAATTTTGAAGCACTGCCAAAGGGGTTACAGCTCCCCATGGTAGGGCCAACTGGAGACAGCCAATATATTCAAACAAAAGGCTAAAGTATTGTTGGGCCTGGCCATCCTTATGGTAAGGGCTCTTAACCAATAGGAACCCTTTGGCAGTGAATGTGTTGTGGTGAGTTTTCCCATGTCAATTGTTATTAATGTCACTCCTGGTCTTTCTTATTTTAAATGAAGTTGAATTTTGGCCCAACTCACTTCTTCTTTGGAAGTGACAGTCTTAATCTACCCTTTTTTATAGTGGAACAGCTCTTCAATAGTGTCAGCTTGCTACTATGGCAGAGACAACCTGTCATAGCAAAATAAAATAATAAAAATACATAAAAAATCTAAGAATAAAGTAAAAATATTACATAAGTAAAAGAAACTACTTTACTTATGTAAATAATACAAAAACACTTAAAATATACAAATAACTTAGAAAGTATAAAGAAAACTTTAATTCTTATTGCAGATTCTAAATCTACATACAATTTAACATAGGGTACCTCAGCCAAAGGTACCCCCAATTCTCACTCCTTCACCCTTTAATACAACCTTGAATAATTAACCAGTACCTTTAGATCACGGGCCCTGGATAATTATACATTATACATAACCAAATGCATATACTCCAAATCTTGTCACGGATTTGGAGTGTTGTGTAAAGTTTAGAAGATAGTGTAGCGTGGCGTGTACTGTCTCCAAGCCCGCGCGCCGCGTAGTCATGCTGCGCACTGTTGACAGGCGCTGTGGTGTGCTGTGCCTGTTCCAATGCCAAAAGCATACAGAATAGGTGATAGTTACACACACTTATCATTCATTACAAGAGGAGGAACATTCATTACGTAGGACATACAACAACAGGATAAGGTGTACATATGTAGACGTGGTGTGTGCGTGGGTAGGTTATGTAATAGGGGTTTATTTATTGAGTAATTAGTGGAAAAGAACATAAGACAGTTGATGAGGAGGGGAGAAGGAAGGTAGGCGGAGAGGCTTTGACCCTGAAGAATGAACAAGGAAGGAAGGAAGCAAGTGTTTCATCTGATGTTTCATCTGTTGCTTCATCTGTTGAAATGAAACACAGAACATTTGGAATGTGGATTTGGTTTCCAAGTCACAGATCTCATAAGACTGTATACTGTACTGGATTACTGCTTTGGAAGGTTTCAGCACATGCTACATGGCTTGGTTTCATAGCAACCAATGACATCATGCTGTGCAAGTGTGTGTCACCTGCAGCAAAAATAACTCACAAGGAGTCCCCTGCAGCAGAAATCCCTCACTCTTCAATATAAAAGGAGGGCCTCTCTCCACCAGGATTCTCTTTTTCCCCCATCAACCTACAGGAGTAAGTTGGTCACAATTAGTTAGTCAGTAGTGTGATTGTCAGAATTAGTTAAGTAAAGTCAGAGATTTATAAGTAGTAGAACCAGAACCATTGAACTATAACAAAGTGAACTTAAGTAGTATTATTAACAAATAACAAATAACAAGTAGTAGTAGTAGTAACACCGGAGCTCTAGTTGTGATTAAAGTGCCTTAGCAAGAAATTGTTCGAGGAAGAGATCATTAACAAACTCTAAATAACAAATTCAGCTGTCTTGCGCTTAACCATAAGCGCCACAGTTTCCATTATTAACCTGAAGTTGTAACAGATTCATTAGTAGATTGATACGTGATCTAGGTCTGATAGAGATTACTTTACAAAAGTAAGATCTATCTTGGAATCAGCCACATATTATTAAATATTGATTACAAGACTCTTAGTTATTTGTTTAGTACAATTAGAGGGGCAGGTCTTTCAAACCACCCGTAAGTTGTAATAGCCTTTCAACCTATTTGCAATTTATTTCCCCCTCAAGGGATCTTTTGATATACATATACTTTACCGTGTCTATCCGTCCCAGGAGTCCTACAGCGCGCCTGACTACAATTGAGCCCAAGGCTCAAGCCCCCGCGCGTGCTAGGTATGCCTACCCGCCTTGAATACATGCATAACCCCCTCTGGGTTACCAGTATCCAAGGAATTGGGCCACAAAGCCCCAGAAACTCACTGTGCACGTGTCAACAAAGCCCCCCCACGTGTAATAAAAATATAAACAAGCTAGAATATTCTTGAATATACTACAGTAACTATTTACCTTCCATCTTCCAGTTTGTAGCACGTGTAATAAGCCCCAGAAACCAGTTCTGGCATATTCTGTGGCCCATTTCCAAGGAAATAGCTCCACGTAACAGACTAGCCCCTACCCACAGGTTCCTAAGGGATATTCTTGGTTCAAATAAATTCGTGCATGACCCCTTGGAGCTTCTAGAATATTATCCCCAAGGTTTCAGCCCTTGTTGCGTCACCATGTGGGCTAAAATGGGCCCAAAAGCGCTCCCAAGACCTACTAAGCTCCCCTGAGCAACCCCTGAGGCCTTCCACAGGTATTTAAAGGGCCTTCTGACCGCCCAAATAATGATCCCCCAGCTTTACAATACTATATAGAAACATACTTACCATTTACAAGTCCCCTACACTTGTAATTAGCCTAGTTATTACTATTATTGCTGTTATTAAAGCCTCACAATTCCTCAAGAAACTCAACAGTTATCACCCAGCACCCAAAATCAACCTTTCTGAGCGCTCCCAACTGTCCAGTTTCCACTTTGAAGATCCTCAAGACCCCATAGGATTATTACTAGTAAGGAATAACCCTTTTCTTGAGATTTTCCCCTTAAAATTCTTCCTGGGATTTAAACCACACCTGTACACAGGCCCCAGTGTTCCAGGTACCTAAATCCTCTGCTTTTTGCACGATACCTTAGAGGGATTAAACCACCCCTGATTTATCAGGCCCCTCTGGTTTAATTTATATTAATTTTATTAATATAAATTGGCCACTTTTTGATTTAATCCATAAATTTCACGTAATTCTTCTGAATTACTTATACCAGTTTTGTCCCAGAGTTTTTACTATAAAAATTCTTAGTTTTTGCACCTTGTGTAGCTAGAAGAAACTTGTCTTGGCATCACATAGGCTGACAATTGGGGGTCTGGCCGGGAAAATTTTATTAAAATCACCTTTTTTTAATAAAATAAGCCACCTGGATTTTATTCTTGATTTTTCTCACAAAAATTAATCAAACCCATAAAAAATTATCATTTTTTACGGTCCTCTTTTTCCTTTTTACTACAGAAAAAAATACACATGAAGAAAAACATATATTACTCCTATTTTACAAAAAAAAACCAAACCCGTAGAAAAAAATCATATCTCATTTTTTTCACCGCTTCTCTCTCCAATTCCTATCCTCGAATAAAAAATTCCTAAAAACTTCCTCTTCATATTTTTTTTAGTGAATCTACAAGAGAACACCGAGTTGATTCAACACTATCTTATTATCCTTAGATTGCGCAAAGAAGAATCAGACCGGAACTACCGACCTACTCCTTGGGAGAAATTAACTAAAGAAGAACAGCTTCTTCTCGCTACCTACCACGCTCATATACATCAAGAAGAAGATCTCGAGGAGCAGATAAAATTCAGAAATTTTCTTCGAGACTTCAGAGCTAAGAACACGATCTTACATCGAAAAAGATACCAAGAAAGAAGTTTGTGTACTTCCTTCCCCCTCTTCTTTAGAAATCAGAGGAGTAACCTAACCCTTTCTGTTTTCCGATCAGTGTCCACCTTTGAAGTCGGAAGAATTAGAGAAGAGAGAGCGAGCCCTACTCCTTCTATTGACACTGACCACGGCGATAGTGATCATACCACACCAAGTCAGTATACCTTGTTAGATTTTCTAAAGTACAAACTCCTAGATTATTGACGAGATGACAAAAATAACTAGGTCAAATCGTCCCAAACTACAAGGGCCCCTCCCAGCTCCGACAAGACCTCGCGGCGGCAAAAGAGCTACAGGCCCGAGTCGAAAACCTTCAAATGACAACCTTAGTGCGCAAGGAGGCGACAACAGCTACCTCCGAGAAGTCAAAGAAGGACAAAAACGACCTTCCTCCGAGTACGGAGAAAGAGACGCCCATGGACTTAGACGAGCTGGATTCCGAATCGTCGGAAGCTACCCAGATACGCCCTTCAACTCCGGAGATCAGGATCCTTTCCAAAGAGGAACAGATCAAACTCCGGGTGAAAGAGCATGTCGCGCTCTGGAGAAAATGTCAAGTAGCCACCCGCAAAGGCGCCACTCCCAAACTCAGAGCCTTGTTGACCGAAGCCCAAGAGAGTCAGAAAACTCTCCAGAAGCTCATCGACAACGAAGAAATAGAGAGTTATGTGAAAGGCTAGAATCCGTGGGACAAGAAGAAGATCCACTTTCCAGCGCCACCAAAGAAGCAAGTAATGAAGTTCAAAAAGAGCGAAGGAGGCAAAAGACAAAGCTCAAGCTCGAACAACTTTGCTGATCCAGCCAAGTGGAAAAGAGCGACAGAGCTTCTTCAAATAGCGGCAGGTCTATATCAGAACTTGCAATAAGTCCTGTCATTCTTACAGCAATACTAAACTCCTTAGAATCCATTAATTCTAATCTTTCCACCTTAGATAGCAATAGCGAGAGTAATTTGAAAACTGTTGTACATAGTCTTGATAGCTCTACTAAAAAAATTAAAGAAAATGTCGATTCCAAAGTCTATCAGATGATCAAACTGTTAGAAAAGCCGCTCCCCATTGAAATGACTAGTAAGCACAGTGAGTTACTTACTGTAGTCCAAAAAGACGTCGAGAGCTTGAGAGAAAATGTCCGAGATAATAAAGCGACTATCACTGAGATAGCCCAGTTCTCAAGGAACTCAGCCGCGTTGCATAATTCCAGCGCTGATTATATTCTATTGACTATAAAACAGGATGGTATCATAGAACAAACGAAGCTAGAATTCCAAATCTTGGAAATAAAGAATTTATTAATTCAACAGAATCTTCAGAGCGAAGAAAGATTTAAAAATTTGAGTAATGAAATCATAACACAACAGAATTCAATAAAAGAAGAGTTCAAATCTTTCAAAGAGCGCTATGAAAACCTGGTTTCCTCTGAAGCGAGCCCCATCCTTCACGACTATAGAAGTAAGAACCTACCAGAAGGGGATCTTCAACACTTGGTAAAAGGAAAAGAAGGAGCCCCCCATCTTACCTATCACAAAAAAGAAGAGGATCCTTTACCCGTCCCATCTGAAGAACCTAAGTATAATAACCCTTTTATGCAATCTAGTGCTCGACCAATAAAAATCAGTTCTCCTCATCCAAGCACTGCCGATCCCAGAATGCAGAAAAAATCAGATGAGGAAGCAGATTTTATAAGAAATTCCACACCTTATACAGCGGCTGAATTAGCCAATCTACACAAATACATGCCTCCTATCAAAGACTGGCCTGAATTCAACGGTAAAGATGAATATGATCACATCAGTTTTATTAAGTACATAGATTATCTATTGAGAACTTATAATGCCCCAGATGATACAATTACTTCCAAGCTCCCTAGAATAATGATAGGAATAGCAAGAGATTGGTTTGTTACCAAAAGCCAATCTGTAGGACTACAAAGTTGGGCAACCTGGAAAGAATTAATCATTGCCAGATTTAGTACTAGAGTATGGTAAACCGCCAAAAGAATAGCTTTTGAGAGTGACTATTTTGATCCTATTAAACATTCTGTAGGAGAATGGTGCTTGCTCCAAAAGAAAAGAATTGAATGCATTTACAATAATCCCACAGCAGAAGAAATAAATGACAGGTTATTAACTCAATGCAAAGGAACCATAGAACACTTAGTCAGATTTAGGCTGAAAGATATGGATGTTGATCTAACAGAGTTTGTAGGAGTATTAGAGGAAGTGGTGATTATGAATGGCTTAAATAAAAAATATGTCAGAAGTAATATACCTGAAAAAAGAGAATTTATCAAGCCAGACAACGTCAAAGAAAAAGCTCCCGCAGCTGAAGCCCCGTAAGAAAAGCTAGCATACCTGAGTGTTATAATTGTGGAGAAAAGGGCCACAAAAGACCTGAGTGCCCTAATCCCCGCAAAAAGATCAATAATGTGGAAGTATATGAAGAGACTGACAGTGAATATGACTCTGGATTTCAATTTGATGTCATAACCACTGAACCAGGAGAAGAGGAGTCTCATAGAATTGTGGTAATCCAAGCTGATATTGGTGATGAATTACATATCAATACCATCCAAGGAGATTCTAATTTACCACAGAAATGGGACTCTTCCATGAAAATTGGTCATGTTTCTGATGCTAAATTGCTCACTAATAAACCAGAAAAAGGAATGAGTTACACTATGGGAAAAACTAGTTACACCTCTGTTTTATTTGAAGATAAATCAGTAAAAGCTTTATTAGATATTGGAGCCTTTTGCTCGTGTACCAGTAGTAACTTCTTAGATGAAATACACCCAGAATGGAAAAATAATTTGCTGCCTGTCCCCAAAGCAAAATTTAGTAGTTGTAATTCTTCAATGAAACCCTTAGGAATTGTAGTAATGTCATTAATCTTTCCGCACTCCAAAGGATCTTTAAGACTGTCCATAGAATTTGTAGTTCTCCAAGATGCCATTTGTGATTATTTGATCCTAGGAAATGACACTTTTTGCATGTATGGAATTGACATATTTCAAAGTAAAAACAGATTCTATACTATTGGGGGAGATTGGAAAAGGAAATTTCAAATTTGCAATATGAATATCAAACTCCCTGATATACCAGATGAAATGACGGAAGAAATGATGTCCTTCAAAGCTGAATATCTGTCTCAAGCAGCTGTTAGTGATATTCTAGATGAGCAACAGAAATTAGATGTGCTTAAAACTTGCTTTATGAATAAAGAATCCTTTTGTACTACTGAAGAACCTATTGGTAACATAAAAGGGCATGACATGAAGTTGGAATTAACTGTTAAAGAACCTTATCATCCCATCTTGAGAAGACCCCCTTATCCTTCCAGTGCTAAATCAAGAGAAGCTTTAGAAACTCACATCAGAGAGTTAATGGAATTAGGCGTGCTGAGAAAAGTTGGACACAATGAACAAGTAGAAATTACTACCCCCGTAATTATTGCTTGGCATAATGAGAAGTCAAGAATGGTTGGGGATTTCAGAGCTCTGAATAATTACACTAGACCTGATTATTACCCAATCCCACGTATTGATCACTCCTTGCATAATTTATCCAAAGCCAAATACATTACAACTATGGATGTTCTTAAAGGTTTTCATCAAATACCCATTGATCCTGACAGCAGACAATTTTTGAGAATAATTTGTCATTTGGGAATATATGAATATTTGAGAATGCCATTTGGAATCAAAAATGCCCCTTCCCATTTTCAGAGAATGATGGACTCAATTTTTGGTACATTTATTAGACAAGACTGGATGATGGTCTACATAGATGATATAATTATATATTCAAATGATTGGGAAACCCACTTAGAGAAAATAAATCTAGTGCTGAGTACCGCCATCAAAACTGGTTTGAAAATGTCCATTAAAAAATGCAACTTTGGTTATGGAGAACTCAAAGCTCTAGGTAGGATAGTATCTGGCCTAACCCTAGCTGTAGATCAAAATAAAGTGGCTGCTGTGATGAACAAGGCTCTTCCTCATAACTTGAAAGAAATGATGTCATTTTTAGGCTTTTGTAGTTATTACAGGCAACATATCCCTCAATTTGCAATAGTGAGTAAGAATCTATACGCACTATGCAAAGATGACACCATTTATGAGATGACCTGGGAAAGAGTAAAAAATTATGAAGAATTGAAAAGGTTACTCACTTCTGCACCAGTCCTAGCCCAACCTGATTACGACAAGCCATTTATACTTTATATTGATGCTTGCTTGGATGGGCTTGGAGCTGCTCTTCATCAAGAATTTATTGTAGATGACAAACCCATGGAAAAACCAGTTCTTTTCATATCCAGACAAATTAAGGAATCTGAGAGGAAATATGGAGCCAGCCAAATGGAATGCTTAGCATTGGTATGGGCTCTAGATAAATTACATTACTACTTAGAAGGCTCTAACTTTGTAGTTATCACTGATTGTACCGCAGTTAAAACTCTAATGAATATGAAAACTCCCAACAGACACATGTTAAGATGGCAAATTGCTATTCAGCAGTATAGAGGGCATATGACCATAATCCATAAAGCTGGCAAGAAACACATGAATGCTGATGGATTAAGCAGATGGGCACTCCCTAATACCCCTGATAACCCCGCATATGATCCTGAGGACAAAGACATATTTCCTATTTTGGGAATTCACGTATGTGACATGGAAAATGCTTTTTATGAATTAGTTCAGAAAAGTTATGACCAAAATAGTGAATTACTAAAATTGGTAGAAATATTGAGAAATGACAGTAGTCCCCCAGAACTAGCAGCTAGTTTACCACCTGTTCTGTCCAAACATTACAAATTAGGTAAATTTACGATATTTGATGGTTTACTGTATTACAGGCACAAACACTCTAGTGTACTTGTCTTGTGTGATGAAGGACAAATAAAAAATATTCTACAGGAATGTCATGATAATGTGAATTGTGGCCACTTCTCAGAAGAAAGAACAGTAGAAAGGGTCAAACAAACTGCCTGGTGGATTGACTGGAAAACCCACGTGCATGAATATATTAAGTCTTGTGACACCTGTCAGAAAGCAAACAAACACACAGGCAAGAGATTTGGACTACTTCAGAAAATTGCTGAACCCACAGACAAATGGGAAATCATTAACATGGACTTTGTTACTGGATTACCCCCAGGAGGATCCTACTCCTACAACTCAGTACTGGTCATAGTTGATAGATTTTCCAAGAGGGCAAAATTTATTCCTAATCATAAAGATGACACAGCAATGGAAGTAGCTATGTTATTCTGGAACAGACTAATGGCTGACGTGGGCATCCCCAAAATAATCATCAGTGACAGAGACCCTAAGTTCACGTCTGAATTCTGGAGAAACCTACATGATATGTTAGGTACAAAATTAGCTTTCTCTACTGCCTATCACCCACAGACTGATGGATTAGCTGAAAGGATGATACAAACCCTGGAAGACATGCTCAGAAGATTCTGTTCATTTGGATTTGAGTTCAAAAATCATGATGGATACACTCATGACTGGGTAAGCCTACTACCTGCCTTAGAGATAGCTTATAACAGTAGCATACACTCCTCTACTACCAAAGAAGCTCCATATATACTTGAAAGAGGATGGATCCCACGCATGCCCAAAGATACCATCAATGACAAATTACCTCATGTACACCCTAGAGCACTGG